GTTCATTTCCAGCCACAGCAACAAAAACCCTATTCCAAAGTCCATTTGCCAGGTCAAAAGATAATGCTCTTCACACAGACAAGTACCATAAGGAGATGTTTTATTGAAATAAAACGTACTTTTTTTTTCAGGCATACTTTTATGCAGATGCACAGCCTTTAGGCTCCCTAATGCAGTGCAGTTTCTGGTGAGGATGCCAGGTGGTCCTCGTTAGGCAATATCCAGTAAACCATTTAATTCCTGGTGGAGTCCCATATCAGGGCAACACCGATCTGCAAGAGGGGTGACTTTGGGGCTTGCACTGGTGTGTCCCAAGTGGGTTTGCATGCCCTGGAAAGCCCAGAGCTACCACACATTGGGGTGACTTGGTGCCATTAATTTTCCCAATTAGCTCCTGTTTGAGAGGAGCAGCTTGTTTTGAAGTTGTAAAGTGTTCTTCTGTTTTGATTACAGTATATATGTATATATCTGTGTGTACATTGATATGTATATATATGTGCAAAAAGAAAACATGGCACTGTAGGAGGTATGTTGATACCCTATGGGGGGGAAAAAAGGTGTTAATGGATGTTGTGTCCTCTCCCAAATAAAGTGAATTTCAGTTTGGTTTTATAGCTTTGGGTGTTGACTTGACTTTTGAAAGATGATTTGCAGTCCATGTCCATAAATCACATCCACCTCCCACCCCATTTCCTCAGGTTTAACATGAGGCTGCTACACAGACACTTGCAGCTGCCTTAAACCGGAGCGCTAAAAATACTAGCAAGTCCAGCCTTGAAGAAGCAGAGCAGTAAAATGGCAATGGGGATATTTATTTAGGCCAGAATCAGCTGGGCTTAGGCGAGAGGCTTTCAAAAGTGCCATATTTCAGAGTGCAAATTGTATTATACAGCTTCTGTTTTTTACTGCTCCTTTTCATCTTATTCACATGCACTGTAGAAAATCCATCATGTGTCTGTCCTCGAAGCTGTAAAGCCTGATATAAGCACACATTTCTTATGTATATTTTGCCAATAAAATATACATACTTGGCCCATTCTGTATGCTTTCCAAATTAATTTAATCTAAGAAATTCTACTTGCCTATTAGGGGGAAAAAAAAGGGAGTGAAAAATTACCAGTCTAGGTGGATAACTTTTACATCCAACAATAACTTCCATTAGTGAGCTAATACAGGAAGTAATTAGTGATTAGCAATGTGATTCATTAGCCTAATTGTAAGGAGCTGGTGTTTCCTTGTTCAAACAAACCCAGCATCTCTTGGCAAATGGTACTTGAGCTCTCCCGAAAGAGCTGAGCCCAAGGGGCCGTGACTTGGTTACGTGGCCTTCAAGCCAAACACCAGCCACCAAGAGAGTTCAGCATCATGTATCATCCAAGGAGAGAAGGAGGTGGTGCCTCTTTGCGAGCTCTTCTTAGGCCTCCACGTTCTCTTTAGTCTTAATTTCTGCAAACTCTGTGTCATGGAGCACTGGGCCCTTGAAAAGGTTCAGTCCTCAAGGTACTTCAAAATGATCCTGAAGCCAAGTTCTGTGACTTTCGTTCACCGTGTTGCTAAGTGCTATATACAGGTATATGCACAGGTGCACATGTACTGTGTTGAGAGTATATGCATAATGCCTATATGCATGCATAGGGACAAATATGTATATCTGAGATCTTTGTCATAGTTTCTTCCTTACGGGTTCCTTGTTTTTAATATTAACTCCAGGTGCTCTTCCATTTTCCACTCTCACYTTTGCTCTCACTGGGTGCTGCCTCCTAAATTTGAAATCTACCRTTTTTTAATGGAAGTGTCTGAAAAATCCCATTTTGAAACTCAGAATCCCAAATCATTAGTTTTTGTTCATACTTAGACTCTTGCCTGTGTATGCCGATGTTCACGTGTAGACTCTTAATGATATTTGTACACTATATTTTGCTGTATTTGGACTTTTGACTACATTAGGCAGATTATATTTGTAAAGTACATCATGCTTCTACCATCACTATAAATCAGTAATAGTGTTTTTATAATCAGATGGCAGATGTATTTATAAGCCCATCCTGAACTAGACCACACCAGTCTGAGTTAGGCTGGAAGCTGCTCCTACAGGTGTGGAATTGCCCCGGTAAGGAGCTGTCTTCTCCTCTCACCTCCCCACTGGTGAACTGACCCAAACTCCTATTCCTTCGCAAACTAGGGGATGCAGTTCTTTCCAAACTGCCTCTGCTTCCCACAGCTCCATCCTGCCGGATTTGTCCTTCTCCGACTCCAGCCAGCTGTCAAGGGACAGCAGTGGCATCTTGCAGACCTTGGGTTAAATGAGTGTGACCCTGCGTGCAATGGATGTAGCTCACTGAGCCGAGAAGTTTTGTCCTTTCCTGGATGATAAGGTCRCTCAAGAGCAGAGAAGGAGAGCGGAGCCTCTGCTGCTGCCTTATTTTGTCTTTGTGCTCCTCCTGAGCTTCTCAGTTGTCCTCCAAACCCCCCTCAGCAACTGCTCTCATCTGATTATTCTGGTACTTGGCACACGTGGTTGGGTTCTTATCAGCTGTGACCTTGTGCCTGCTTGGCTGGCTACACTCAGCTAATGAAACTGGGTTTTTTTCCATCAATTGATTGTCAGAACACTTGGATATAGTTCAACTCTTCCATCCCTTCTCCCCGGCCAGCGCATTTTGGGTTGCCCGACCAGTCTGTGTCCAACCTCTTCCTTGCCTTTCCCTTGGGTCCATTTTCCTCTGGACAAGCACGTAGTCTTTCAGCCTCGGCCAAAGTCCTACCTTAAGGACTTTACGGCTGTTTTACCCATCACCTTGTTGATCAGCAAAGGAATATATCAAAAGTGGAGGAGGAAGCAGCGTGACTCTTTCTTGATGTTTGTAGAGCGTCTTGACTATGGAAGTAAGTCAGTGTCTTGGCTTGTATCTTAGAACATGGAGGTTGATATCTCTGGTGACCTGAACTTAAGGCAGTAGTAGGTACTGTTTTAATCCACGTGAACAGTGCAGCCTGCTGAACGGGAATGTGTTTTCCTGCTTTAATACTGTGAATGTGGGACAGGGGCTGTGTGGTTTTCTGGTACTACCATATTCCTGACTGTTGTGTGAGCTACAGGGCAGGTTACTTTTTTTCTGCAGTGTTGCTTTTTTCGGTGCTCGTGCAACTTATTTTGAAAATATTGTGGTTTTCTCTTGACTGAAGAAGAAACAAGGGAAATCACCAGAGAGGAAAAAAGGAATCAGTGGAAGAAGCCGAGATTCCCCACTGTGAAGGCCCTCGTGCTTGGGGCTCTTCGCTCTCTTTGAGCTGTCCGACTGAAGAGGTCAGCTGCTTGGGAAACTCGTTGTGCAACCCTCCTAAAATATTGATGGGAATAGTTTCTCCCTTCGTGGCGTTTGTTGCTTTTGGGTCATGTTGAGATGAAGAGGAAGGAAGGATTGTCCACCCARTAGAGCTGCAGGGCAGAGGGATTGAAGAGATCGAATCTCCTTTTTTACGCCCTATTTTTTGCTTTTCTGTTTTAAGACCCTCATGTAATTCTTTTCCACTGCAATATGATGTGTTTTGTGATTAAACTACTGACAATGAAACCGATTGTGTTTTTSTGGGTTTTTTGCTCTTTACGTCTCCCCTACCCCACTATTAATTCCTTTGATGCCACGCCGGAGCCTGGGACGGCCACAAGAAAGTCTCTGCTCACTCTCGAACCAGGAARGAGCCAGACAGACCTGGCAGCTGCTCCGAGAACAGGGAGGCTGTGAAGCAGCAGCCTCCCTTTGGGAAGCTGCAGAAGGACCTTCTTAACTTGTCAAGCTTGGCATATTTTTCCTTGGCCATCTGCGTGTGGCAGTGTTGGCTTCAGACATTAGCAAAGTTACTTGCTTCTAGGTRTGGTTTTGGTGCAGTGCCCTGATGAAAACGCTCCTGTGAAACCACCTGGTGCTTCTTCCCAACCAGAAGAAAACGAGTGGTTTGSAAATGTATTTCAGAAGATGAGTGTATGAAATTACAGGTATTGATGGGGAGAAACTGGCTGGGCAAGAGCCCTTTGGGCCCCGTTCCTAGGAGAGCTCGTGCTCTTCTACCCTCTTGTCTGAACCCTSCTAGCTCCAGCATGACATTTAAAAAGATAATAGAGCAAGGCAGCTCCATCCCTCAATCCTAGCAGGAAATAGGATGGCATGGGGGGGTTCCTTTTTTCCCTCTAAGTGGTTAATAATTACAAAAGAACCTGTCTAATGCTGAGTGGTTTCTCCACTTTGTTTTTCCTTTGAGTCTCTCGGAAGATAAACCTAAAACACTTCTGCTGTTCCCCAGCACTTTAAGCCTTTCCATGGCGTTGGTAACATCTCACTGCCAACACCCCATCTGTGATTTGAGCTTGCAGAAAACACTCTGCACTTCTGTTATTAGCTTGGCTGCAGAGAGCTGCTGCTTAAATATTAATTGCGGCGTCCCTCGTAAGTGCAGCTAAACCCACTGAGCATCTTGTAAGCTTAATAATATCCAGGGGAGGGTGAGGAATGTGTTGGAGGTGAGCTTGGCTTTTACTCCTGGCAAAGTTTGCCCTGCAGTTGATGATGCAGAACGGATCGTGTCCCGCTGCTTTCCCTGAACCCCAAACGTGTGCGATGGAAGCGGGAAGTGAAGTAGTTAAACCCAACTGACCAGCAGAGCTTTGTGATTTTAATACTCATGTTGGGTGTCATTGAAAGAAGAGCGGTACMATTAAAAACAGTGCACTGTCTTTTTCCCTCTCTCCTGTTTTTCCAGMTGGTTATTAATCTTTTATTGGTGAGGTGCCTTGCCTACGGGTAATCTGGGGTTTTTTTTTTTGCATCACCTCATCTAACTTGAGTTGCTTCTCTTTGTGTTTGCAGATGGATTTGTGGGATTTTAATAAATTGAATTTGCTTGATTGCTGCATAGAACGTGTTTGATTTTCTTGGTGTCTTGCCAGTGCATAAGAATCATAAAAAACCTGCATATCCCAGCGTTTCCCTTTTGTTTTCCAGCGTTCTGTGAAGAGGGCTGCAGATACGGCGGGACTTGCGTGGCCCCTAACAGATGCGCCTGCCCGTCGGGATTCACGGGGAGCCACTGTGAGAAAGGTAAAACTCTGCTGCAACCCTCCTCCGTGCTCGGAAATGAGGCCTGGGAGCTGCTGGGCTGAGGARCAGCCCCTTTCCACGGGGTTCCTCTCCGTGTGATGCTCCTTAAGTTAAGCAGGGAGCGCGGAGGGTTGTGCCTGCTTTTGCTTCCAGCAAAACTAGGTAACTGAAAGGCAAATTGAGAAGTGTTTACTCCACACGTCTCCTCTGGTGCCACCTCAAGGTGACCTGATTTTTATGAAGCTGTTAGATCAGGATTTGGATGCTTGCTTCTCACTAGGGCCGCCACTAAAGAAGATTTTACTTGTTTGTAAGTAACCGAGGCCACCAATTTTCATAGGATTTCAAGGTACTGAAATGCATCTTACAAAGGCTGAGTTAATTCCTTTTGGATGTGCCCCCGATCTTTTCCTTTGCCCAGACTGGTTTCTGACTGTCTCTTCCAGAGGTCCACATTCCACCTGGATCTGCATTGACTGTGATGATCTTTCAATTAAATAATAGAATTTTCTTTGTTGTGTGTTTGCTAGCGAGCCTTTTACTTCCAGTGGAAATAGAGAGTTAAGGCAGGTTGCATGCTGTTACTTTGAGTAAGATCCTAATAGACTAGGTCCTGTAAGAGATAAGAATAAAACAAAAACTGAAATAACCACTGAACAGCAAGTTAAATCACTAGAGCCACTTGTTACCCCGGGACTCTTTAATAATCAGCACGTAGCAGGATCTGTTTGATACGTGGCTGCTCGGGATCTTCTCCCACCTGCAGCTGCCTCCTTGCCTTCCTCAACCCCTCCTTCTGCTTGCTCAGCTCTTCAGCTTGCTCAGAGACACGGAGGATACCTGAGATGGGGGTTGGAGGTGGGAATATGCTGTAATTCCCAGGCTGGAGGGTGGGAATTCCCATCCTTCAGGCTGTCCTCCTGCTCCACTCGCTGTCTTGGCCCATGCATCTCCAAGTGCCTTTCCTCTTGCGGCTGCGTGGGGACGTTCAGCACTGGAATACAGCCTGGAAATGGGTAAATGGGCGGTTTAAAATTGATAAACGGGGACACGGCACGGCTGAAACCTGCGTTTTTCCTGTCTTTTATGTTGTTTTGATCTGAAATAGGAGCTGCCACAACAAGTAAAGGAAACGGGGCAGGCACGGTGCCCTCGCTACGGCAGTAGATTTAGAGGCAGGTCTCATAAGGGACTGTTTTGTTGGTGCATAAAATCTGTGTGCCTTGGACAAGAAGGTTTTTTTCTTATTATTTCCTTGGGAAAAGGCAGGCTGCACCACTGTATGCTACTCAGTAAAGCCACACATTTMGGAAAACATTTAGAAATCCAATGTGTCAGGGGATTTGAGGAGGGGCAGAGCTTTGCATACGAGAAGGTCTGTCCCATCACTAGAGGATTTYGGAAGGTCAGCAGATGCACCCGAAGCTGTTTGCCATATTTCAGTGGCTGGCTAAGTGGATATCAGATATAAGTGGTGGCCACTCCATCCACAAAGGCACGGCTCCTGGGAAAAGGGTACCTTAGGAATACAAAGCTGATGAACCAGCTTTGCTAGCTCCGAGGAGCTGCAGTGGCTCAATGAGGACTCCTTGCATGGTCTCATGGCAGTTGGCTGCAGGATTTTTGGAGGACATCTAAGGCATTCAAAAGGAATGTTTTTCGGATCTTGATCCAAAATTTGGCAGTTACTGGGTGCATGACCGAAGCAAAATGGGGTGCTTTTGGGTAATGCATTCACTTTGCCACGCTGCATCTAAGGACAACCTTCAAGATGACACAGGAGCACTTGCAGTCTGGTTTCAGCATCATGGAAAGTGCAGAATGAACCAGCAATTGGAAAAGGTTTTTGAAAAGCAGGGATRTTTCATCCTGAATGTGCCGCATTACTCTGCCTGCACGGCTGGAACAAGTGGCAATAGGTTCATTTTGAGCATTAGGTTCATTTTGAAATCTGGAGATACTTGAGAAGGGTCAGATTTGTGAGGGTAATTTACTCAATGTAGAAATTGAGACACGGATTTAAGGCATAAGTGGAGATGCAGCTACGAAAAACGAGCTCTTGCTAATTGTTGCTGTGTCTGAAATGATGAATCCTCACATCGGTTACGTGGGGACTGCCTGTTCTTTTCACATGGGAGGTGACCTAGAGATGGAGATCAGAGATCAGAGATGCTGCTGGGTAGTTATTTTCCACCCACTCTTTATAATACTCTTCATAGAGTATGTACTGGGTGCTGCTCATTGTCTATCCWTTCCTGTTTAGGGGCTGATTCTATCCTCTCATCACGATTGAGAATTTATTTATGTATTTATTTTAAGCTATCCAGGGCTGAAGGAGATGGTCTGCGTGGTCACGACCGTTCGTGCTCATGCACAGCACGTAAGTGATCCCTGCGCCAGGCAGGTTTTTCCTGCAGGGATTTTTGCTGACGTTGCTGCGTGGCTGCGGCGAGTAGGTGCTGCCCTGCTGAGCTGCAACTGTTTTCTCCAGCTCCTTTTTTTTTTCTTGCAACTTCAGGGAAAAGCAAAAAAGAAATGGAAAAACTCATTCCTGGAGCTGTTTTTGTTCTTGCTGTGGGCAAAGCGCTCGCTGAAAGTGCTGCTGCTGCAACAGGGGCTCTTGTGCAGGCCCCTGGGTAAAGCGCCCTCCGGAATGTGTTCTTTTGGAAAGAGATGTGAGAATCGGCTTCTCCGTGCGCTGTCCCTTTGATTCCTGAGCTGGATTGATCTTGAGGTGTGTAGCTATCAAAGACCTTTTCGTTGAGGACGCTGCTTTAGAGCACAGCCACGCACGCAAACAAAACCAAAGCGGAGAAGAGGCGATTGCCGGGRAGCAGAGCGAGCTAAATGTCGAAGCCGCCTCCCGTGCTCTGCCCAAGGAGCTTCTGCAAAACGTGCAGCGAGGTCTGCTCCGGGAAGCTGCRGCCATGGAGCTCGAGGCTCCCATTTCAAGGTGAGGGGAAGGCAGCACAGGAGGCTGCTGCGTCGCTCCGGAGGGCACGGGACACCCGGGCAAGGCAGATGCTGCAGGTGGCCGAGGTTGCCATGCTCCATTTGCCACCAAGCTGCTCCCGGCCTCGTTCCCGGCGGTGCTGATGTCTTCATGAGGCSGCAGCAGGAACAAAGCTGCCCTAGGGAATAGATCAAAGAGCCTCTCCTGGAAAAATCTGGTGAGGGTGGGCCCTGCGGGTCACGGAGACATCTGTCTGCAAGTCAACACATGACTCCCCGTGGAAGAAAAGCGGCTTGCTCTGTTTTGCTCCATCTCTGCCCAGCTCAAGAAGAAAAATGAAGTGTCCCTGAGCAAGAGCATCGCCCTTCTCCTCTAGCTGATGGCAGCACGAGGAGCCTGGGCTGGYTTTTGTGCTTCTTGCACTGCCTTTCCTACTGTAGAAGTTTACTTCTCACAGCCAGGAGGAAGGTCCTGGGTTATTGGTTGCAAGGGATATTTTTATGTACCGGTGTGGTTTCTTTTTTACGTTCAGGTGGCAGTGCCTATATATTTTTGTTTCTTTGTAATGAAAGAAATATCCGCTCTATTAATCTTTTACGTTAGCCGAAATGATGGCTTGACATCCCGGCTAACAAATGTTTCTAATATTCTAATGTTTTATTACTTGGAGGGCTCGTGGTCATAAAATATCCCTTTTGCGGTTTCCTGACGGGGTGAGAGACATCTGTTTTTAAGCCGTAGCAAATTATTTTGTTTTCCCTTTGGTCTCCAAACCCTGCACTTAGAAAATGGGCAGTATTATATYGTGTATCCTGGCAGGGATTGTGCTTGTTAGTCTAGATTCCTGTGATTTCCATTTCCCCATGCAAATTCCATTTCCTCCCCCCCGTCAGGATCTATATGCCAGCTGGATGTGTAGGGTATTATTTAGGGATGCAGTTTTATTCAGACTAGARAAAGGCAAGATTTAGTTGCCGTCTGCTTTGCATTTTTATTCATGCAAACTGATTTAATCAGGTAGATAATTTCTGTTCATCAAATTTGATAGTGCAGAGAAGATTCAAACCCACGTTACARAGTTTTTGTGCTTTTCCCGTAGACATCCTGAATAATACCTTTAGACAGTGATACCTTTATATGAAAAATCTAGGGAGAAATGACAGTAACTTCACTCCGAAATAATGCTCTTTAGATTCAGGGTCCCTRCCAAGCTGTGTTGAATCTTTTAAAAAACTTTTAGAAGTTGGTTTGAAATTAAAGACATTGGATTCTTGTGGCACTATGGAGGAAAATGAAGGACCATTGAAGGTCCTTTAGTGGCTTAACATTCATCCATTTTTTTTCAGCAGAAACATCTCCCAGACCTTTAGTGCTGGTGTTTCTGCCTCAGTTTCTTCTTGGTGACCCAGACAGTGTCATTTAATTTATTGCAAGTGGTAGAATCACCGCTTGGAGCACAAGGGCGTTGAACAAACGTGCATATTCATGGCTGCATGAAGTTGCCATTTGAGAACAACGAAATCTCCGTCTCTAAATTCTCCCGTGGGAGATGAGCTGTACAGATAAGGCCCTTGCTTTAATATACACACTTGATGGCAAATTAGCTGCAAACAGGACCGTTCATTTTGCTCTGGTTCATCAAAATAAAACCCTTCTGAGCGTGGTTGGCGAATGCTGGTTTTGTAACGTTGCTGGGAGGATGGTATGAAAGCAACTCCATGGTTCTTCCTAGTGCATGTCAACAAGAAGCAAGAGCAGGAGGCTTGCAAGAAGAGAGAGCGGAAAGGAGAGTGAAGTAACACGAGGTGAGAACTTCCCCAGCCCATCCAGCTGTATTTAGGGGACATGATTAAGTTTAACAAGCTCTTTGCCACCTCTGTAGCCTAAGGAAGCCAACCAGGAATATTTACATTTGCTGATAACCGAGATTTATAACTCGAGAGGTGTAGAGCTGCCACAGAGAGGTGCTTGTGTTTCTTGTTTCTTGACTTGTGTGAAGTCAAACTCCTCTTGGTTTCAGTGGGAATTTGGAGCTGCACAAGAGCTT